AAATTAAATATAGACTGATTTTTGTCGATATCATTCATATCAAAAGATCGTATTGTATAGAAAAACTGTGGTTCTCTTAGTGGGGTATAAATGCACAAGAATAGACAGATCATGTCCTTCAATTTGAAAAAAAAATGTCACAATAACATGTTTATGACAATTATGAAATGTAGACATTCATATAAGAAAAGAATAAGTGCAAACAAGTTTACAGCTATATTCTGTATGAAACGATACCGTGTTTATTTGGAAATCATAATTGTTAAAATTACGTATTGTGGCGAAGCAAATCAGAAAGTAGACATCTCCATTGATGAATTCAATCATAAGTGATATCTATAAACAAAATATGAATAACATTAAATTGCCGGACAGTGAACATTGATTTGTGATTTGAACATTGATTTGTAACAGAAATTAAACAAAATGAGTACAAATGTTAAACTTAATGACTAAAGACTAGATTACAATTTAAAGTTCACTACATTAACCGTAAAATATTACTTAAATAAGACAAAGTACTTTTATGTATTGTTTGATTTTATGAACATGTCAATTACATACATATTATTCAGTAAATGCACACAATACATAGGTCTTCGATAGATTTTCGGTAAGTCCGCGAGATGAAATCATTGTCACGAGGATCGCGAAATTATATGACATGCTTTCCAAAAATTTGTAATTTTCTCCGGTGACCTCATAATTTTGTTTTACTTAATGTTATAGTAACTTAATTTAATTAACAGTCTTTGAATTAATGATATTCAGTGTTATAGCGCAACAGGTAAAACTGCAGTTTTATATTTTAAATGCCATATATGTAGTCAGATCGAGACAGTGTATGTCCATGTTTTTGAATTTTCAATAATATTGCAGCTATGATTGTTTTATGTTGGTCGTTTTGTTTTAACGTGTTCTGCACTTATTTTGGTGAAAACTATATTCTTTTTAGATAACACTATGTATTTATATTTTTCATATGGTTCTTGACTCATATAAAAACTGGTTCAAGACGTTGTTAACATTCATTTGCTGATTATACTCGTCTTAGAAATGTATAGGTTGTGACATAATATAATGTGACAATTCTAGCGGTATTATCGTATATATGATTAGAATATTAGCATTGGAAATTGCATGATTAGTTATAACAGGAGCATTGGAAGTAATACAAATGTAGCAAAATCTATAAATATTTACTGGTATATCATAATATTATTTACAAAACTGTATCAGATGGTCTAGTTTGTTTCATTTTGGCAAAAGGAACAATGAAATGCAATCGTTCAGCATGTTTAATTTCGGCCAAAGGATCAGCAAAAAATCGACACAAAATTTCATAATACAACTCTTAATGTATCGTAATGATTCTTTAATTTAAATCAGCACCTCAATTTGCACTAAAATTGTTTATCAATTATGTATGTTCAATTTCTTAGTTAATGATTGTTCGATGCAAGTTTTATCAAACAAACGTTTCAGTAATATCGTACACTGTATTATTTACAAGTATAAGCAAAGTGTAAATGTGATGTCGGAATAAGTTTTCTTTCCTTTGATTCGTTTTACCTTTTCATTATTTTATATAAGCCTTATTATGCTCAAAACTGTTAACGCTTTAAAACTCATGATACCTTCTAAATATTCTTTCAGAAATGCAATTTGAATACAGATTGATTTCAACTGTTATCATTCATGCCAGTAGAAAGTAGTGTATTGAATGTAATTCTAAGTGGAGAATCGACGTAACATGTCCTTCTGTAAAATATCATTAAAACTATTTCACAAATATTCTTTAGGATGTCTTTGTAAATAGGGATATTCATGTGATAGAAAGCATTGCAAATTAGAATAAAACTAATTTTATATTATTTTATAATATGTTTATATGATAATTAAATTGTTTTATTCACGCAATCTGAATGACTAACTTTGAAACCATTTTAATAATAAAATTACCTGTAGCGAAGCAAACTATGGTATCTGTACCGACGTATTTACTCGTGTTATTTCTATAAATACAGTTTGAAAAACAAAATTAGCTATCTAGAACGGTGAAACAATAGATATGTATAAACTTAGATTTTTAACCAACAGAAAACAGATGATGTAAAACGATTAAACAAAATAATCAAAAAGGTCAATTTTGAATTGGTCAATTTTGTAAGGTCTAATCCACGCAAATTGAATAACCAATTTTAAAATCATTATGTTTATAATATACTTCTTGTAGTTAAGCAAAACAGAAATATGATATCTTCATTGATTACCTTGTTGGCTTGTATGTTTTATTTATGAATAGAGAAGAATGGTTTAGTATCATTGGTGTATAGTTTAGAACAATGGTTCAAAGGACAGTCAAAATGATATTAAACAGAAGAAGCAATATAATTTAACTATAGTTGTAGAGCGCGTAGCCGGGTATATAAATTGTACCTCCTACACAAGGCCCCTTTTAACCAAATAAAATATATAGATGGATGAAGTTATTCCAAGTTACAAAAGTTCAATAAAAAAAGGTATATGTACTATTTTTTGTATATGTTTCATCATGTATGTATATTTATATATATTAAGAGATCACTGAACTTGTTGAAAGTTTAGAAACGCCTCACAATTATAGATTAGATTTTTTTGCTCATCATGTAAATGATATTTAATGGGGTGTTGTTTTAATGATTAAAATAGGAAGCATTGATTTTATAATCAAGACTATTTTTTTCTGTAAAATAAATGCTATCTAAGAAATATAAGAAGGTGATTCGCAACATAAAAAAGAACGACTGAACGTGACTGTTGAGACTCATTTTTTGCTAATTAAATTTCATATCAATCCAAATTAAACCACAATAAACACATAATCAAAGGGCAACAGTTTTTTTACTTCCATACACTAATAACTAATTGCCAAAGAGCAAAAGAGGATATAGATTGTAAAGATCATTCACAAATGTGTAACTTTTCGGGAACTATAAAATTACATCATAAAGAAGAAGTTTCTTTAAAAAAAAAGATACTCGGCCGAACTAAAACGATTTTTTCACTTGGACCGATTTGGTTTGTTTGCATTTTAAATAGTGGTTTCGTTAATTTTAATAAAATTTATAACCCTTTAAAGCAGCGAGAAATAATCTGTACGAGGATGCATAGTAAAATGGAACTCATTTTGTGTAGGAGAAGGCATGGTTAAACAAAACATAAGTATGTTAAATTTATTTTGATAGTAAAAGAACTTTGTATGAGATCCGGAACACACGTGATGAAGATCGTATCAAACATAAAGGACATCAATTAAACTGCTTGGGTTGAATTTCTGTTGTAATTTATGGCACATTGGACAATTCTATCATATGTGATAAGATGAAATGACAAGCATATAAATTTATACTCTAACTCGAAATATGATTACTGAGAGATAATGTACCTACTAACAATGCAAGTCAAGCCCAGATCCTGGACGATCAGGACCCACCTTTTTAACCGACCTTTTTGTTTTGGCACGCGACCATGTTAAATAATTAAAAATGTCTAATACACGACCTAAGTAGGTAATCATTATTGAAATACTCCTAAAATGTAAAATAAAATTATTGCGTTCAATCACATTTACGTACCTTTTTCAAATAGTAAACTGGCGTATTTCACATAAAAGAATTTAATTGTGTACCCTTAATTTTTAAGAAAACGAACGTAAGTCCATTGAATCTAAACTATATCAAAGCGCTGTTTATTTTATGAATCCTTAAACACGAGCAGAGTGTTGTTTAATAATGAAACCATATGTTTTATATTGTGTAAGTAAGTAAACTAAATAAAGGATATTGAATGAGTGTAGGTTTAATATTAAATTTATTGAAAGAGCTGAGTATAATATTGTTTTATTCAACGAGTTCTATAAATTTAGTATTGAATCTACACGAATATAATATTCTATTTATCACACATATTAAATAAGAACGGTAAACTGTAAAAAAAAAAGAGTCATTTTTTAATTTATGCGTCTATAGTGTAACGCTTACATTAGCGCGCTTAAACGCTATGTGTATATAAAGCGCAAATGACGTCTCGTCAAAGTGTTATTACACTAGTGTAATAAAACTCCCCGCAGCGGTTACTTCCCCTGATCAGTACAGTAACCACTACCACCACAAGTAAACTCGGCCGTCAGAGAGCCGAAAATATTTTTCACTTTTAATTTTAAAATAGAATACTTTATATCATTTCAGTTTTCTTTTATTAAATTGAAAAGCTTATTGTACAAGAATGTAAAAAATATACATATAAAAAATATTTTTAAACATAACGAAACATATTTTTACTGTGACACCGTATGTATATTAAACAATAACTGAAGTTAGACAGTTATTGAACGATTGGGCAAAAGATTTTGATCCGGCTTTTGTTTTAAAGTGTAATCAAATTGAGGTTTTTGAACATATTTTATCTGGTAAGGATGCAATTATAAATCTGTCAGTTGGATATGGGATCCTTTGCGTTATGAAACTGGCCGCCATGTTTTTGTCACATGATACAACTATCATCACGTAATTTCAGTGGTGGCAGTGGTTAAAGTAGCAAAACGTGACGTTACCGCTGTGAGGAGTTTGAAGTGTAAAATCGTTTTTATTAAATAGGGAATATTTGTTGATTGGAATATATTTCAACGAGTGAGCACCAAAATGTATATTTCACGAGTGGCGCAGCCACGAGTGAAATATGAAATTTTTGGTGTTCAGCAGGTGAAATATACTTCGATCTTACACTAAACTAAACTAATTTTCTTTTTATTATAAGTAAAGAAACGTTTTAAAAAGACATTTAACCTATTACTAAATGAAAAGAGCGCCAAATAATCGTACACACGTGACGTATGACGACGTCAACTTCATTAGATTGGTTTTCCAGTGCACTGTGCACGCTGGTATTTCTAATAATCTTTTACACTAAACATGTTGTCAAGCAAACCATACTGTGTTATTTGTAGATTGTTTAATAAATGGTGAATTATAATTCTATATTTAAGAAAGCTAGAGATGGCAGAGTCTTGTGATAATGAGATTTTCCGTAAAGCCATAATTAAGAACTATGTGGCAGTCAAGAAGTATTTGCATCCTGATCCTATTATTGATTGTGAAACAGGCTTTGAATTACTCACCGTTAAAGACAGAAAGAATATCAAGGTAAGATATGAAATATTTTAAAGGCCAATACAATTTAGACGACTTCAATTGTCAGTATTTTATGAATGAATGGCAATGGTTAATTTTTATTATAATTGTTAATTGTAAAATGAAAGCTGAGACATTCGATGAATAATCTAAGTTCATGCTTGGAACTTACATTTATGGTATTCTTAAAAGAAAATCTTATCATTTCTGCATATTTCAAAAAGTTATTTAAAAAAATCTATTCTTACTATAGAAACACAAATTAAACGCGTACCGAACGTATTAGAATTGCTATCAACATTAAATATATATGAAAATAAAACAATGTGAATCTTATTGATAAAATACATTGTTACAGGGTAAGGACCCAACTGATAAGAATGAGACGATATTGAGAAAAGTAAAATCCAAAGGTGCTAAAGGTTACACAGATTTTAAGGAGCGTCTGAGAAAGACCTGGCAGACTGACTTATTAGAGCTTATAGTTTGTGCAGAAAATGGACAGGACACAACAGAGATAGAGAGTCAACTTAAGAAAACAGCAGTGTTAAGTCCAGAGTATATCAAACACAGAGGTGGTAAGTCAATTGTTATACGCTCATATTGTTCATAGGTGAGCTTTTGTGACTGCATGCATGTCGGTTGTTAGTTGTCTATCATTCGTCGTTAATATAATTATGTCTTTATACAACCAAAATTATCGATAAATATCATCTTTTACAGAAATGATTTAAAGTATGCTTCTACAATATTTTCCTCTGTTGATAATTGCTTCCTAACTTAACATGTTTTCTGAGTGTGAACTATAAATTATTTAGTCGATAATAATTTCCTGGTAGTAAACTCAAAGACATCACGGCCATCATATTATCTATTTTATGTATTTTTACTACACAAACTACATATATCTATACGATTATTCGATTGGCTTGATTTATGTTAAAATAAAACAACATAAATTGATTCGACACCTCAGGCAAGTTCAAGTAAATTGAAACCCAACCCATTACAACTATGATTTCGAAATAATGTATCCTAAACAGTAATTTAATCAAGTTTGAATATATTATTTCGATTCTGACACTATATCAACCTACCTGATTAATCTCCAACGCAGTGATCTCCCCTAACAGGATTAGATCTCAGTCAGTCAAGATTTATGACGATATGATTTTCTTTTCAATTTTGATATTTCTTTTAAAAAGTAATCACAGTTTGCTTATGCGTCAAGACCGTAAGGTGTTAGATGTGAACTTAAGCAAAAACTTAATTCGGATACATAAATACTCATATTACATAAATAATCTTTATTTCGCACCATTTATTTCCAAAACAAAAGCCGCTTTTGAAAGAGAAATCATTCAAGTAATTTCTAATCTCAAGATATAATGTTTATTATAAATAAAAACAATTGTTCAACGATTTCTCTGGCATATCCGCCACCTTGACACAATCATGTGATAAGACGATCATCACGTGATTTATGTGAAGACAGTGGCTGCTTGCCGTAGCGTAACCGGTGCGCGGAGTTTGGTATCAAACTGAATTGTGACCGTACTTAAATTCCAAATAAAATGTATATTTGTCAGTCGAACTATCCCCGCACGTGTTCTTATCATATATCAAGAAAACGTAAAATAATCCATTTTGAAAACAAAAATCATATTTTAACGTGTATTATCATTTTTACGTGTATTATAAAAGACTCCAATAAGTCAGCCAGTTACAGTTCATGTTTTAAAAATATAGAACTTATTGTTGCATTCGCTACGCTACGAGGCAATAAAATTCCATAACTATAACTTACTTTAGCGCGTTACATTTTAATGATTACGTCATATGTTGAATGTTTACGTCACATGTCTAAATAGAGAATCTCAACAGTGAGTTTATTGCATAATAACAAACCCTTTCGGTCCTTCTATGTTCAACAGGGAAAATTGTGGGTCGTCTTAGAATCTGTAATAACTAAGCACTGCTGTGGGAATCGGCATACATGTTTCATCATTTGAAACGGTGTTCCGTAAGAGCTGAGAACGTAAAGCGTGAGTCATGAATTTACAATGATGACAGTACGATAGTAACAGTATGACAGTACAATGGCGAAGCACCATGTTATATGGTAATCTTACTGTCGTTCTTCGCCATCATACTGTCGTATTGTCAATATTTTACTGTTGTACTGTCAACTTTGTATTGTTGTCTTCCTGTTAAGTATGCGCATAATAAAATATTAACATGGATGTAAAAATCATCATGCCATAAGGTCTGACTTTAACAATGCCCTCTCATAAAAGGAAAAACTTGTACTGATGCAAAAAGATGGTGAAGCGCGACAGTGCGATGGTGTTAGAACGACAGTACAATGGTGTCAGAACGACACAACGATGTTGTCAGAAGGACAAAACGATTGCATCAGAACGACAGTACGATCGTGGGTCGGGACAGTAAGATGGGGACAGTACAATTGTGACAGTACATTGGTGACCGTACGAGGGTAGCAGTACGATTATGACAACACAACAGTACGTTCGTATTGTCCCCATCATACTGTCATGCTATGACATTGTACTAACTTATCTCGGATAAAGCACCCTAACCCTTATGGAACCCTTACCCTTATGGAACACCGTAGTCTACCGTCAATACATTTTATTTGATCTAATAATCCTGTTTAAGAACTCACTGCCATATTTAGCGTTTATTATTTTGTTTAGCGTTGAAACTGCAATTGCGATATTTAGCGTTTATTGCAACATTAGGCGGCAGTCTATGAAATATATGAAATATACATATGAAAGAAGGCGGAGTCAATATTAATAATTATTCGTAAGGATTACTTTCTAAGGTATTTCCTCTGATGCTAAGTAGCTTCAGGTATTCATTCCATTATAACATATTAAAATAATATTTCGCATCATAGACGGCGGTGATAAATTGTGTATTGAAATGTATTACATATATAATAAATATATTACTGCGGGCTGTTCAAATGTATTAATGTACCAAGAAAGAGTGTTTGTAAACATTACTTTTTGTGCTGGAAAAATAAGATAAAAACATGTTATTGTAACGTTTTCATGAAATATGGAGTACATTTTCACTCAACATGATAATATTCAATATATAGTACTCTCTTAAATAAATTGTAATTTAATTGATTACAGAGGCAAGTTTGAGTTATCAATCATAATCAATTAAAATAAAATCTGAAAGTAATTGTAATTCAATCAATTACTGATCAATGTAATCATCCCCGGTCTGCTTTGTGATTAATTCATCGAAGGATTGCAGACGAGCTGTATACATATTTTGATTATAGGTGTAGGGCATATCCGCCAGTGTTGTTTGATTGTTATTGTCAAATGCATTTCCCAATTTAATGTCTTTGAGTGTATTCCCTCTGCTTGTTGCAAGTAAGCCAAGTATCTTGCAGCATTTGCAACTCAATGTATGTAAATCATACAATTTTTTAGTGTCAAAGGAAAATGCATATTCGGTTGTAAATAGAGTGTACATAACCTTGAAATGTTGTTGCTTAGAAGTTCTCACTATTTTTGACGTGGTTCTATTAACGTGGTTGGCAGAACGATATTGACAGTACAACAGTACGATGGTAACAGTACGATAGTACGATGGTGACAGTACAACTGTATGGTGGTGACAGTAACACAGTACGATGGTGACTGACAGTACGACAGTACGATGGCGACAATACAACGGTGACAGTACGGCAGTACGATAGTGACAGTACGAATGTAAGGTGGAGACAGCAAGAGAGTACGATGGTGACAGTAAAACAGTACGATGGTGCCAGTACCATGGTGACAGTACGGCATTTCGATGGTGACAGTACGAATGTATGGTCGTGACAATACAATAGTACGATGGTGACAGTACGTCGGTATGATGGTGACAGTACGACCGAACGATGATGACAGTACGACCTACAATGGTGACAGTACGATGGTGACAGTACGACAGTACGATGGTGACAGTACGACAGTACGATGGTGACAGTGACAATACGACAGTGCGACGGTAACAGTACGGTGGTGACAATACGATGGTGACAGTACGGCAGTACGATGGTGACAGTACGGCAATCCGATGGTGTGTACGAATGCATGGTGGTGACAGTACATCAGACGATGGTGACAGTACGATGGTGACAGTGACAGTACGATGGTGACAGTACGATGGTGACAGTACGACAGAACAATGGTGACAATGACAGAACGACTATATGGTGTTTACAATACGACATCACGATGGTGACAGCCCAACAGTATGATGTTGACAGTTCGATGGTGACAGTAAGACTGTACGATGGTGACAGTACGAATGCATGGTCGTGACAGTACAACAGTACGATGGTGACAGTACGATAGTACGATGGTGACAATACGGCAGTACGATGGTGACAGTACGACAGTACGATGATGACAATGACAGTGCGACTGTATGATGATATTACGACAGTACGATGGTGACAGCACGACAGTACGATTGTGACAGTACGATGGTGACAGTACGGCAGTACGATGGTGACAGTACGAATTTCATGTGGTGTCAGTACAACAGTACGATGGTGACAGTACGGCAGTACGATGGTGACAGTACGACAGTACGAATTTGACAGTGACAGTACGACTGTATGGTGGTGACAATACGACAGTACGACGGATCCCATCGTGCTGTCGTGTTTCTCCACCATACTGTCGTACTGTAACCATAGTACTGACATGTTTCGCGCTTTTCGTTCTTGGAGAAAACGTGCTGGCCTTAATGGAACACCGTACTATCGTGTCAATCACGGACTTTAATTGACTTGACATTAAAGTATGTAGGACAATTTACAGCGGAAATAACAAACTATTTTTGATAATAACCTTATATATTACCTGAAAATCGGCTTATGAAAACTACGTACTTCATTAAAGATGAATTTATTTCTAATAGAACTATTCGATATCTTGTCATAATATAAATGACCGAATATAATCCGTAAAGGTGTTTATGTAGACATATTTATCAACAATGTTATGGTTTAGACAACTTCCAACAACCTTGTTGTTGCCGACAGTGTTGGTGCTTCATGCAGGCGATTGGTGTTCATTTCCCGTGCGAACACTAGCTTAGATTTATTTTCTTTACCATTTTCGGTCCACAGACCACAATGATTTAGTATAATCGTATAATACATTTTATTTCCCGTATACTAGTATAATAATTTCGGCTTGAATCTTATATTATATTCTTTACTGGTTCCCTACGAAGTTTGCATTAAATCGTGATTTAAACAACAGACTGACGATTATACTAAGTTTATGCATCATGTTTAAATTCCTCTATTCCTGAACTTTAAACATATTTTTCTATCGTTAATGTTGTTCATGGTTACTTTCTGGAATATTCAAGTTAAACAACAGCAATGTGGCAGCAAACAAGAATATTGCTGAATAAACACAAATATTGTTGAATAATAAGGCGATACATACAAATTAAGAAACATAAAAGACACAAGTAGTTTTTTAACAATTAATACTATAATTTTACAGATAGACATTTCAAGATCACAAAAAAACAGAAATGGTAAACCACGGACTCTAAATGCGCGCAAATAAGGTTTTTGTAAGAGT